GCAAAGTTTTTTTTGGCTTTGTTTGAAAAAAATTCTTCCCATATTTTTTGCAGGGTTGACTCCCTTGTTAGTGTGATAGAGGTGGAAAAGCTCTGCTAGAATATGAAAATGCCTCTAGGGTAGGATAAGCTCTCTTGGCCTCTGGAAGGACAACTCTGACTCCACCACCTGAAGGCAAGCAAGGTCAGGTGAGTCCTCACCTGCACAGGAGTTCAAGATCTGCTGTGAGGAGGACTCAGTAGAGAAAAAAATCCAGAAAGTGCTCTGAAAGACTGCCACAGTGAGTTCACACACTGGGAAAGTTCTGGAAATGTAAAAGGTCTGCTTCACAGAAACGGCCTCTGAGATTTTGTAGCCAAACACTACACAGACTTCAACACATCCACTTCATAGCTATTTCATGGACACCAGCGCTTGCCACGCAGCACTCTTGCCATTCAAGGGCTGCAAATGTTCACTCCCCGAGAGCTTGAAATCCACCATGCAGAGACACTGCTCATCTCAAGACAGACCTCCAGCAGGACCTTGCCATAGGTTGGAGAGCCGCATCTTCCAGGGCAGCCTGTAGTAACGAACACCCTCATCTCAAGTTAGGAGGAAGCCAAGCTGCTTGTAGTGTTGGCCATCCCAGAGCATCCCGTGATGTTACCTCTGTGTGAGCATCTGCACAGGCAGAGCAGCTGGCCTGTTGCTGGAAAGATTGTAAGCAAGGTTGTGACTGAACAAAGACTTCGATGGAGGGACAGTCAAGGCAAAGCCTTCCTCAGTTGCAGACTGACATGCACACACGTTTTGTGGGGAGGACTGTCAATCTTGTTGGTCACATCCCCCACTCACACTGCACTATATTCATCTTTGGAGAGGAAAGACAATGATATATAAACCTATCGTACCTAGAAAAATGTGTGTCCTTTGAGGGCTTATTAAAAAATAGTATGAGTAGGGGCACCGGGGTGGTTCAGCCAGTTAAGCATCTACCTTTAGCTCAGGTCATGATCCCAGGGTCCTGGGATTGAGCCCCACATTGGGCTCCCTGCTCAGCGGGAAGCCTGCTTCTCCCTCTCCCTGTGCTGCTCTCCCTGCTTGTGTGCATACACTCTCTCCATCCAATAAATAAAGAAAATCTTAAAAAAAAAAAACAGTGTGAGTAGGAAAAGCGGAGTTTGTTGCATCAGAGAGTACCACAGAGGAGGGCTGAGTTTAATGCACTTTTGTTCTTAAACACGAGTATATGGACAGGAGATGGACTAGGTGCGTGTACGTCACTTGGAGAACTCATTGCTTAGTAAGGATTTCCAGACATCACCTCTGGAGATTCTAATTCAGTACATCTGGGACCAGGCTTGGGAATCTATAGTTTTAACAAACTCACCAAGTGACATATAGCCAGGTTTGAGAAACTTAGAAGGTTTGCCTTGGTGAGCTCTTCCCAAAATTCAGTGATAGGAGGCTAAGAAGTGTTAAAAGATAAACTGAGGCATATTAAACATTTTAAGAGTTTGAGCCAAACCCGATTCTAATTTAGTAGCACCAAACCAGAAGTGGTTAGGAGCACTCCACTGACAGAATCTCAAGGAAAGACTTTCATAGAGAAGAGATAGAAGCAAAGCAAGAATATTATTTGATTGGCTATAGCTTAAGTGGTTTCCATATTTGGGAAAACCTAATTGGCTGTTTGATTGATTGTCTTTAGATTTTGATGTCTTTTTTTTTTAAGATTTTATTTATTTATTCAAAAGAGAGAGATCAGAAGTAGGCAGAGAGGCAGAGGGAGGGAGGGGAAACAGGCACCCCACTGAGCAGAGAGCCTGATGTGGGGCTTGATTCCAGGACCCCGAGATCATGATCCAAGCCGAAGGCAGATGCCCAACCAACTGAACCACCCAGGCACCCCTGATTTCTTTTTTTCTTGAGATTTTATATATTTATTTGATAGAAAGACTGCACATAGGCAAACACAAGGAGGGAGAGAGGGAGAAACACAAGGAGGGAGATTCTCCCTGTTGTGCAGGGAGCCCGACACGGGGCTTGATCCCAGGATCCTCATGACCTGAGCTGAGAGCAGATGCTTAACCGACTGAGCCACTCAAGTGTCCCAGATTTTGATTTCTTTGAGACATGTATAGGCTTAGGTTTGGTTTGCTTACACAGGCTGCTAAGGCATTAGTACCACCTCAGTTTAATAGCCTCCTTGTTTAACAGAAGGCAGAGGGGGTTGGCATGTGAGGAACGATTGGTGAGATGATCTGGAGGTGTCTGTGGGTTTCAGAGTGGGTCCATGCTGTGTGAGGGCAACCATGTTCTGGGCTGTGGTGGAAGGCTCATGTGAGACTGTGTGCTGAGCCCACTTGCCAGCAGGGTGTTCTCTCCATATAGAGCTGTGTCCATGGCTGACTGGAATGGCCACAGAGCCAAGGGCTAAGGCCAAATGAAGGTAAGAATCCCTGGTTCTAGGACATTAGGGATCTGGGACCAGTACACCTAAATCTTATGAATACCAGGACACGGAAAAGGAAATGGCCATCTACTTTACTGAGGCATCTGAGGCTGGGCTATTTTGGTCAGAATTCTACAGAAGACAAGATGGTCCACATTGGGTGAATTTATATAAAACCAAAACATGGGTGTAGCACATACCATGTGCTTCTAGGTGCTTTCCACATACTCAGTTCATTCTCAGAACAACCTTATGAGCTAGATAACATTAGTCTTTTATACAGACAAGGAATATAAGACTCAGGTCAAGTAACTCACTCATGTTTACACAGCTAACCAGTTGAAACACAAATTATCACGGGGCCACATAAATATGCAGCATTGATGAGACCTACTAATCCATGATATTTTTTGGAGACTATTTCTCTGGATTATCATGATTAAGTGACCAGTTATTAAGGAAGAAGACCTGGAAATAAGATGGTGAGTTAGTGAGTTGCCCTAACTCAAGAGCTTTTATGTTCAGCCCTTGTTATTTTTATTATTTTTCTTCTTTCAAATTCTTTCAAAACATCATACACAGATGTTTCACCTCTGACCAGTGTTGTTGGATTTTACCCCGCATTCTGCCTTGTCATGTTCAGGAGACTCAAATTCCTTGTTCAATTTGCCTAGGCAAACAAACTAGGAAAGACAGATAGCTCAGGGAGCTTATATAAAATTGGGGGAGCGAGGAAGGTTATACAATACAGTACAACAGAAAAGGCAATCATCTTGGAGCCATTCTGAGGGCTTACATGATTTATTTAACTTCTGAATCTCAGTTTTCACATCTGTAAAATGCCAATAAGTGCTTTCATCTTATTGGGCTGTGTGAGGTTTTATCATATTTGTAACACATAAATGCAATGAAACTGAGGTGTTTGAAGTCACACTGCTACTAAGAGGCAGAGCCAGGATTTTAGGCTAAGGCACACATTTGTTCCACTGTAACACTCTGCCACCTTGGAATGTAGCCTTCAGGGGCATGAGCTACAGCTGTATCCCATGTGATCCAAGTCAAACTTCCAACCCCAGAGGGCCTTTCTGTGTCATTCCCTGGCACCTGGAGACACTTCACCCACCTCACTTCTCTGTTTTGGTTTGACTCTCTAGGGCAAGAAGCTCCATTTCAAAAGGGTGAGTTTGCACTGTCATGTCTTTCTCTCATGGCTTGAGGCTCCACCTCCTATACTCAGCAGATTCTGATTTTCAATTGAAAAGGGAGAGGGAAATGATGTGTTCATTTGTTTAAGATCCTGAGCAACTGAGTCCATTTAAAGTAGGTTTAAAAGAGGCCAGGGTTCCAGCTTCCATTCCCATATAAGCCATGAACGGAAAAACCATTAACGCCACAGGGTGTGCTTGAACCCATTTTATGGCTGCTTTTATTCTTCATTCTCCTTTTCTCTCCTACAGAGCATATATTGCAAATTATCCCATAGACTACTCTACTGCTTTCTGTGTAACTTATGCCTTATCCTAGTCCCCACTCTACCACAAGCAGAGTATGTTTCCTTGTCTTTAAGGGTTGCTTTGAGGATCAATGAGATAATCCACTTACCATGATCCCTTGCGTATAATAGCACTCAGTAAATATTAGCCATTATTATTACGAGTATAGTAACTAACCATTTCCACTTTCCTATTAAGACTATTGGTTCTTTGCAAATCTGCAGGAAAGTCTACTTCCTGACAATGTATATGATTGTTATGTCACAGATGGGGCTCTCAGCAACTAAACTGACTTATTTTGTGATTGATTACTTTGATTTCACCTCCAAAGCACCCTCTCAGGAAATAGCTCTCTGCCAAAAATTTCTTTAAGAGAAATTTCGTAACTGTCGAGAGAGCACACACCCACGCGCAAAAGCAGGGGCAGCAGGACTCTATCCCAGAACCCTAAGATCATGACCTGAGCCTAAGGCAGAGGCTTAATCCACTGAGCCACCCAGCATCCCAAGACATTCATTTTTTCAATCAACTTTTGACTACCTTCAACATGCCAATAATGGAGGTCTCAAAGGAGATTTAAAATTCTTCGGAAGTGGGTTTTTCATTTATTTGAGTACCCTGGAAGTCTTGCATAGTTAGGGACACACTGGAGGGGACCTCAGAGTTCTACACAATTATTACGTCCTTGAAAAATGAATAAAATAAGTAAGGGATAAATTTTCTATTCGGTAGTTGAGCTGTCTATTGAGTGAAGTGTATTATGAATTGCTTCGCGAAGTGGAGACTTCTTTTGCAAAGAGACGGAAGTACTTCTTCAACTACTGTATGCGTGAATTCGGAATTTCTTACATCGCCTTATCTCTCAACCCACAGGAACAATTTTGCTTTTTGACCTCAAAGGTCGATGAATTTCTGCTAATGGAGACTCCCGTTAGGGGGCGCACTACTGCCCCAGCCGATTCCACCCTCACTGCGCAGCCTCGGTCCAGGAGTGGGAGGGAATCCCCTTGCAGTCGCGCGTGCCGACACCGGAGGGCGCGGCCAGTCAGTGGGGGCCGGGCCACAGAGCTGCTTTCGCCCTGGTAAAGTAGGTTGCGAGGCGGAGGCGGCCGCCGCTCTTCTACAGTGTTGGGAAGATGGCGCCGCCGGTGACGGAACGGGGGCTGAAGAGCGTCGTGTGGCAGAGTGAGTGCGGTGGGGCAGGGGCTGAGCGTGGGAAGGCCAGGAGGCCGCTACACTTGGCCTTGCTTTCCTGCCCCGGACCAGCAGTCTCTTAGGGAGCCGCCGCGGGCACTTGTTGCTTTGGGACCAGCGTCCCTGCTAGGACTTTTTCCTGCTTTCCTTCCTACCCCTATTTCTTGCCAGCACCAGAATGGGCGGGGTGCGGGAGCGAGTGGCCTTCTCCCTCTCATGGGGCACCGCCTCGCCTCGGCCTCGCTTTGGCCCCGAAGCCTTGCCCTGGGTGAGCGGCCCCCAGCCTGGCTTTTTCTCGCGCGGCCCTTGTGCCTATCCTCGGCGGGGCTCCCAGCGCTCCTCTGCTACCCCCGGAGCCCCACCAGTCGGTGATGTCTCTCCACCCGGGACAATCTGCACTGTGTTTCTGTAATCCGCCCCTCCCCTTCTCCCCACACTTGTTTCCAAAGACTGCTTATTCGGCATCTTCGTTTTAGTACCAAGCAGGGTTTTAGAACTACACTTTTCGGTCCTCTAAAAGAAAAATAAAACCTTTCTGTAAATAGACCCTTCTTCCGTATTCCTAGAGGAGCCCACTTTCTAAAGAGTTCTGGAGAAGGAACAATTTGAATGATTAAATCTCGGAGCAAAAGCTGCACCTTCTCTCTCTACACTCTCTGGGCCACTCCCTGCTCTTCCGACTGTACTACTGCTTGTTAGGTACTGATGTTCTGCTCTTCTGCCTTATCATCTACGATTTCATAAAAATCACTCCAAAGCTAGGTCTGACAGGTTAGAGAAGGAATAAAACCAGAAAACAGGAAGAACCATCATTGTTTGGCTTGTGAGTTCAAATTAATTATGGCCTAGTAATGGAAAAGGAGTAACATCTAATTAGTATTTCTGACTCTGGTTTGTTAAGCAAAGGATAGAAATGACTTAACAAAATTATGGGAGTTACAGAGTTCCTTGTATAAAATTAAAACTCCAAATCAGTAACTGGCATATTGCTGAACATACTAGATACTTAAAACGACTGTATAAATAGATGGGGGAAACTAAGTTATGATAACATGTTTTTTAAAATTTGATAATTATAAGGTTGGCATTCTGTTTTTTAAGATTTGCATGGGTGACTTAAGATTTGGTACTATTTTTCAATGACAGTGGTATGTAAGTGCATATACATGAAAGTGGTAGTGAATTGCATTGTAAAAATAATTGCCAAGCTATATATGATCTTTAACATCAGCTTTTATAAGAAAAAACAGTTAATGACAGTAACATCCGTTTTGATAGTGTGGAAACTGGGCAAGAGGTAGAGTTTAGAGATAACAAAATTTCCGTCTAGTGCTGTTAACTTGAGGTTGCACCAGGATGTAAGATGGAGTGCAAGATAAGATGGGAGACTGAAAGGAAGGAAAGAAATGTCAGGGTTAAAAAACAATTATTTGAATCTTTGTGTAAATAGAAACATAACTAAAAAACAAGATGACATTCATTCAACATATAGAGAGTAAAGTAGAAAAAGAGAGAGACCGAAGAGGGACTCTGAGTTCTGTTAGCAAAAGAGAATAGAGTCTGTAAGAAATGATGAAGGAATCTCCTAAGAGGTAGGAGAATCCTACTCTTTTGGTTTTGCTAGATTGATCTAGCTAGATTTGCTAGTTGCGTCATGGTAGAAAGCTAAATAACCTTCAAATTACCCAAAATGTAGGGAGAAGGAAACTAATATTTCTTGAAGATTTATTCTGTGCCAGGCATTATTTTTTACATCTATTAAAATTTGGTAAGAATGATTATCTTTATTTCATAGATGTTAAAATACATACATATCTTTATTTCATAGATACTAAAATATTATCATAGCTGTATCATATTATCATAGCGGTATTATTTATAATAGCCAAAATAATCAACCCAAATACCTATGGATTGATGAGTAGATAAATAATAAGCGGTATGTCCCTACAACAAACTATTAATAAAAAGAAATGAACTACTGATAGATGCTACAGTATTGATGAATCTTGAAAAAGTTGTGCCAGATGAAAGAAGCCATTCACAAATAACCACATGTTGTATGACTCTGTTTACGTTAAATGTCCAAAATTGGAGACAGAAAGTAGATTAGCAGTTGTGTACATCTGGGGGGAGGAGAAGATGGCGTGATTCAGGGATAATGGCTAAGGGGAGGGTTTCCTTTTGGAGTAATGAAAAGGTTATAAAATTGATTATGGTGGTGGATGCCCAACTCTGAATATACTGAAAGCTGTTTAATTGTACACCTTGGGTGAATTGTATGGTACGCAAATTACATCTCAATAAAGCTCTTTTTAGATACCTGATAGAGCTATTAAATATAGATTTAGTATTCACACCCAGATCCTCTGGCTGCAGAGTTAACATGTCATGTGTCTGTGAATTTCTGTAGTGTTTAATTTAAACCTTAGTTCAGAGCCTTATCTCATGCCCAGTTTATTGCTGTAGCCTCCGCCTCCTTACTAACCCTCCAAGCCCTTGCTCGTAGCCTAACTGGCCAATAGCTGCCAGAATAATTTTCTTGTTACAGTGCAGTGCTGTGATCATGCTGATCTCCTGTTTGAAGACCTGCGGAGAGAGCCCCTCCAGTTGTCTAGAAATGATTTCAAATACTTAGTCTGCTTTTGAAGACTTATAACCTGACCTTAACCTACCTTATTTTCTACCTTTTCTTTGTATGATCTTGATGTTCAACTAGTCTGTACTGTTGAGTCTTCTTGAAATCTTCTCCATCTTTACGCCAATTTCTGTTCAGAATGCTTCCTTTATGCCTGTTCTTCACCTGTCCAAATTTTAGCTAGCCTTTAAATCTTGGCTCAAATGGGGCTACTATCTCCATAGTGGCTTCTTATTTTAACCCAGCCTCTTACATTTCTGTAGCATTTGAAGTATCCTTCTCAAATGTCACTTTTCACTACTGCCTAATGTGTCTTGATAAGCTTTTTATTTTATTTTTTTTGTATTTTTTTAAATTTATTTTCAGCGTAACAGTATTCATTGTTTTTGCACCACACCCAGTGCTCCATGCAATCTGTGCCCTCTCCAATACCCACCACCTGGTTCCCCCAACCTCCCAACCCCAGCCCCTTCAAGACCCTGAAGTTGTTTTTCAGAGTCCATAGTCTCTCATGGTTCACCTCTCCTTCCAATTTCCCTCAACCCCCTTCTCCTCTCCATCTCCCCTTGTCCTCCATGCTATTTGTTATGCTCCACAAATAAGTGAAACCATATGATAATTGACTCTCTCTGCTTGACTTATTTCACTCAGCATAATCTCTTCCAGTACCATCCATGTTGCTACAAAAGTTGGGTATTCATCCTTTCTGATGGAATTCCTTTTTTTTTTTTTTTTTAAGATTTTATTTATTTATTTGACACGAGAGAGAGATCACAAGTAGGCAGAGAGAGAGAAGGGGAATCGGGCTCTCTGCTCTGCAGATGCAGTGCTTGATTCAGGGCTCAATCCTAGGACCCTGAGATAATGACCTGAGCTGAAGGCAGAGGCTTAATCCACTGAGCCACCCAGGTGCCCCTTAAAAACACTTTTTTTAAAAAAAGCTTTACTATTTTGAGTGCAAAGGCTATATTTATTTGCAAAACTAATTTCCATACCTAAAATCAGCATAAGTTTCTAGTGGTTGGTATTGCTCAATTGCCACTTTTTGCTATAGGAAAGCACTAGCAAAAAAAAAAAAAAAAAAAAAAAAAATCACTGATGAAAGGTTTTAAATAAAAATTTGATAAATCAATTTAAAAAATAAAGCAACAAAACAAAGCAAGCTCAAGCCACCTGTGGCTTTTTTTTTTCCTCATTGCAGTCTTTTTTTCTTGTCTGTAAGTAGTAGTCTGATGTCTGTGATTCTTAGCACATGTTTTATAGGAAATGTTAAGAGAAAGTTGCTCTAGAAAAATTACAGATAAAAGTAATCAGAATGTATTTAAGGCAGTCTTTTATAAGTTTAATCATAAGCTTTTCTCCTTTTTCACATTTTCCTTTTTTTAGTCCTTATATTAAAAAATGTGACTCATGGGGCGCCTGAGTGGCTCAGTGGGTTAAGCCTCTGCCTTCGGCTCAGGTCATGATCTCAGGGTCCTGGGATCAAGTCCCACATCGGGCTCTCTGCTCAGCAGGGAGCCTGCTTCCCCTTCTCTCTCTGCCTGCCTCACTGCCTACTTGTGATCTCCCTCTCTCTGTCAAATAAATAAAAAAATTAAAAAAAAAAATGTGACTCATTTTTTTTAATTTTTAATTTTTTATTAACATATAATGTATTATTAGCCCCAGGGGTACAGGTCTGTGAATCACCAGGTGTGATTCATTTTTTTAAGTACCTAACATCAACATGGCATTTTCCATGCTATTTCATAATCTTTGCTATTAACATTTTTAAGTGTCTAAATACCTTGATGTGGCAGAACAATTTTGGTAGCAGAAGATTGTCCCAGCCTCCCTCTCCAGATACAACCACTCTTAGGTTTCTTACAAATTCTTCTACAAGTTTTCCATTCAAATATAATCACATATAAAATATATTTTTGCTTTAATCAATTATTTTTGTTTTATGTATTTTTTCATTCTGGTCATTTTAACTTTATCTTGTCAAGCAAAATTTTATTTTAATTTTTGGATATTTGCACAGTCATGTATTTTTTAAAATCAGTATTAATTGAGTATCTATGCTGCACACTATCTTAAGTGCATATATATCTTGGCTTCCTGGAATTCACAGTTCAATGGGAGGTGATGACACACAAGTAGCACGTGCTGTATTAGCAATGCAAAATGTTTCATGAAAGAACAGAAAAAAAAGGAATCATTGCCCTTCTGGAAGTGGATCAAGGAGGACTCCAGAGAGGAAGGGCAATTGAAATGTGGTAGGATTTTGCCAGACAGAGGGAAATCTGAGCCAGGGCCCAATACTAAAAGTACAGTTTTTATGGGAGAGGCAACAATTCCTTTTGAATATGGA